TTGGGTATTTTTTATTGGTATTTTTTATTGCTGAACAAATTCAATTCCTTAATATTTTTAACATGTGAATAAAATACAATATTTTCTCTTTAAAAATTGCACTACATGCGATATTTATCTTTAGCAAAATTTAAACAATCGCAAGCACTGAAGTAACGTGTCTTTGTTCCAAGCACAACCTGCCGGGCTCATTTTTGAAGAAGCCCCCCCCCCCCTCCATGTACATAAACTTGATTTCTTTAACTGATATATAGTTAAGTCATAATTGATACAATGGGATATTTTATTTAATTTTAGTATCTAATGTTTTTACCGGTATATTGTATTTAATTCTAGTATCTAATGTTTGTACCGGTATATTTTATTTACTTTTAGCATCTTAAATCACTGTCATATAGGCAAGTAGCATCGTTAGAGGGGGGGATAAAATAAACACGTTTAATCTTATTTGAATTTGGGGATATTCCACATTTCAATATAATTTTCAATTGAAATAAAATAATAGGACATCGTTTTTGAAAAAAGTACGGAATAATTGATTGGTAAAAAAAAACAACATAAATGCCTGAAAGTTGCATACCACCACCCCCTAAAAAGCATTTTGTTCAGGGAAGTACAACTATGTCATTTCCATAAAGAATACATGTGGGTACTGGCTAAGGGTTTGGGTTTTTTTGTTTTTGTTTTTTTGTTTTTTTTTTTTTGCTTTTTTATTGTGGAGGTGGGTTTGCTGATTATAGCGGAAGGGAAATAACAATTCTTTGACCGGGATCAATCCTTAAGACCTTACTACATGAACATAATTATTCATTTTACTCCCTTGCAAGCAATTGTAAATACTCGGTCATTTCTGTAAACGCTCTGTAATTTCTCTCTTGGAAAATATCAGTGTTGTTACGAATGCCTTGCAAGATAACTGCAGAGTAAGAACTTGTTTGGTTTTGTATGGTCAGCGGTCTGTCCCCTTGTCAAGGATACTTTCAAATATCAATTTTTCAGAGATTAAAGCATGCTTATGTTCATGTTGTAAAAAAAAATGTAATGGTGTCTTTGAATATATTCTTTGAAAATGTACAACTTACATGTACTTTATTATTTCAATATTAGCCTACATATAAATAAAATTAAGGTTTTTTCCAACAGCGTTATCGCTATTTTACAATGTATACGATCATATAAATGCTAAAATTTGGGGAAATAGATATTGAAAAACTCAATTCATGCAGAAAAAATAATTTCTAACAAACACAAAAATACATACAGAAAAAAATAATGTCTAACTAATACAAAAGGGTTATTTAGTAATAATAACGTTCCAAATATCAATAACTTTATATGACGTTATTCAACGTTTTATAGCGTTATCTTGTTAAAATTGCATTCCTTTCATCTTGAGTTTTAATTAGAATTTAGAAGGTATATAATAAAAAATTTGGTATCAAAGTATACAGAAAAACTAGCTCTTTAGCTCTTTCAGAATCAGTAAAAAACTATTTTCGAAAAATTTGTCACGAAGGTCCCTTTTCGATTGACGCAACTCACATATATATATATATATATATATATATATATATATATATATATATATATATATATATATATATATATATATATATATATATATATATATATATATCAGGCTTGGGGCGAATTACATTGTAAAGTAATGCATTACATTACCATTACTTCAACAATTTGGGCATTAAATTACCATTACCATTACTCTATTTTCTTGAAGTAATGCATTACATTACCATTACTTTAGTAAAGTAATGCATTACCATTACCATTACTTTTGGAGGTTTTGAAAATAGAAATTTATACAAAACTTTGCGATTTTTTTTCTTAGGCATGTATCCACCCCTTCAAAACTAAACATGATAAATGGTAATATTCAAATTTTATTTCACGTTTTTGTATATATGTATATTACACTGTCATTAACTTATATTCACAGAAAGTTCAAACTTTTAAAAGTTGTCAGTTATATAACATACATGTATGTACACTATCCACTTTTTGTGTAATTATTGATGTCATGAAGCAATTTAACTTTTGGGGCACTTTAATTCCTGCCTAAAATATCTAATACTAAAGCATATAGACTACATTTATTAGTACCTTATGAAAAAAAAAAAAGATTGACAAACTTTTCGAAAAAGTAGATAGGATGTACATTTTTGATCTGCTTAACTTGTCTTCTATTTTCTTTGGTACAATGAATTTTTCATGGTCAGTACAAGCCAGGCCAGCTCAATTAATGTTTTATAAACACAGTCAGGAGAAAGGGACTGGTAATTTGGAGCATTTCTCCAAACAATGCATTGTTTTAATTGTTACATAACCCAGAGTGATAGTGTGTTTTGATGACATTCTGCCTATTCAAAAGGTGGTAATTATCAGTTTACAGTATTTAGTGTATCTCATATGCAATTTAGGAAAAAGATCTTTTTAAACTATTATTATATAATTCTTTGAAATCAATTCTTATGTAAAATAATTTTGAAAACTTAAATCTAAGGTAAGTATACTTTCAACAGAATAAAAAGTGTATTTAAATAGATACAGAATAAATTTTACTTTAAATAGGTTTACTTTTTGATTTGATTTATTCATTTGCAAAAAATAAAATAAAAATAAACAAAACAAAAAAATAACCTAAACAAGAATTCCCATCATCCATGTCCATTTTAATTTCTTAAAATATATAGGTACATACAAAATAATGCTTTGTAATGCGATGTAATGCCAGCATTACACTGGATTTTATGAAGTAATGCATTACATTACCATCACATGTAATGCAAATTTTTGGGCATTACACATTACTGGCATTATTTTGAGTTCGTGTAATTCATTGCAATGCATTACCATTACAATTAGCATTACCCCAAGCCTGATATTATATATATATATATATAAAGCACTAAAAACCAACAACACTGTATATCCTAAATGTCGGATCTACCAATTAGATACAAGGTCACGGACGGAAATTTATATAAAGCACTAAAAATGACCAACGACACGAACAATAAAAAAAAAAATTTTAGTGCTTCACTTTTATATGGATACCCACTTCCGCCCCAGCCCGGGGTTGAACTCACGACCTATATATATATATATATATATATTAAAATTCAAGATGTCCTTGGTATAGGTATGTACATATAGAAAAATAATCCAGAGTTTGGAAAAGATGATCACATTTTATTCCAAAGCGCTTTCGCCATTCGGCTTTCAGTGGAGTTTGAATAACAATAGCAACATCTTGCTATTGTTATTCAAACTCCACTGAAGAGCCGAATGGCGAAAGCGCTTTGGAATAAAATGTGATCATCTTTTCCAAACTCTGGATTATTTTTATATATATATATATATATATATTTTTATATATATATATATATATATATATATATATATATATATATATATATATATATAAAGCACAATTTACAACAACTGTTGTATCTGTATCTCATTTCTATTCTCAATGACCGTGTAGTGTAGGGCAGCGCCGCGAGAATTCCATCGGCATCGAAAGCAAGTTTTTTGACTTGCCTAGATAGCCGAGCGGTCTAACGCGCTGTTCCTGCACTGCTAAGAGACAGATTCCGAAAGTCAAGAGTTCAACTCCGATCTCTCGAAGTGAACCTCCGGTCCCGTTTTTCCCTCTATATAACTCCTGATCTCTCGAACTTCTATCTCTCGAAGTTGTCTATCTTTCGAACCAAAACATGGGTCCCGTTACATATATTTCATTGAATTTTACTCTCTATCTCTCGAAGTTTTGATTGCGCGTTTATACACGCCAATCAAGCAGTTGATGTTAATTGGGTGTTTACATAGATGACACTACACCTGTTGGTCGTCTGTGTGTTGATATAATCAATTGGTTATTATATTGGTAAATTATAAACGAGTTCACAACTTATTTTGACTTGAAACCGAGACGATAATTTTTAGAAAATACTTCATAGACCTTCGTTATATTAAGTTTCCAAAGACTTTGAACTTTTATTGGATTCTACATAATCCCAGTATTGCAAATATTGCACAAGAAATTCCTTTCTCAAGGACTGAAAACCGATTAAAATCATCTGGTGAACACTGCTGTAGGACCCGATCAAGCCGCGGAATAGCAAAAACCGACAATTGCTATTCGGGTTTCATTCAATCATGAAAAAAGAACTAATAGATATTGAAACTTTAGGAATTCGTTTTATTTAGTCGAAATACAATAATTGCTGTTAATATCAAGTGAATTACCTGTAAAATACGATTGAAAAACGGGAAATGACTTTATTTACATATACATCCGGCATTTATAATAGTAGAACATCGATGATCGGCATATTTCATTTACTTTCTATATAAACTTCGAGAGATCTATATATATAAAGAAAGCACAAAGAAATTCACTTGTATGGAATTTAATCATAGGCTTTTAATCGAATATGGTCTAATTAGCATTATAGAATCCAAATTTATTGTAAGAACTAAAACATTATGTAGAATTTTTTATAAAGAGGTCAAGGAAAAATCTGCTGAAAGGCTGAGAAGCGAATAAGTGGTTGACAACAAAGTTTTCTCTACAAACATGGTTCTTAGAACCCCTCTTACATTATTAACAGTAACAAAACATTTCAATTTCATTAAGCTTATACTTCATATGCATTAAAAAAAAGAAAGAAAAAACCAAGACCTTACTCTGAATTAAAAACTGTAAGATATTATTATCAATTGCAGTGAAGTGTCCCGTTTCGCATTACGTCACATTGCGCCAAGCGTAGACAATTCACGCCCTTGTCTGTTGCACGAGCACAAATCAGGGATAAGACGAATCTAACCAGACATAAAGATTGCGGTCAGATTCAGAAGGCGCGCACTATTTTCCTTGAGCGCAGCTGCATAATAGGATGTGACGTAGTGCAAAACGACACACTTAACTGAAATTTATAATATATTACTCTAGTATTCATTATTCTTACATTTGAAATTTTCTAGGTCTGGCACCTGTTCCTCTACTGGGGGTGTACTGTGCATCAAAATCAGCTCTTGTTACTATGTCTGAAGTATGGCGCTATGAACTTAAGATGTGGGGGATCAAGGTTGCCACTATTATACCCAGTGGCTACAAAACAGGTATTGAAAAAAGGTCTTTACGTGGATTAGCCACATTTCCCATTCAAAGCATTTACCAGTTGCATACATGTACGATCATTGTGACATGGCACTTTTTTAAATTACAAGAGGCCCTTGGGCCACATCGCTCACCTGAGTAACTTTTGTGATGCAGTTCTTTACCAGATTTCCCCTCTTCTTGTATCTACTGTGGCCCCCTCCCCCCCCCACCACCACCACCCCCGTCTTGATTTTAATGATGTAGAATCTACACTACCCCAGGATGCTTCCACCTAAGTTTCAGCTTTCCTGGCCCACTGGTTCTTGAGTAAAAGATTTTTTTCCTATATATTTCTATATAAAAATTGGATTCCCTATTGTGGCCCCTCCCTACCCCCGGGGGTCATGATTTTTTCAATTTAGAATTTACACTACCCCAGGATCTTCCACGTTAGTTTCAGCTTTTCTGGCTTACTGGTTCATGAGAAAAAGATTTTTTAAAGATTTTCCCTATATATTTCTATGTAAAACTTGGATTTCGTATTGTGGTCCCGCCCTACCCGGGGTCATGATTTTTAAAATTTAGATTCTTCACTACCCCAAAATGCTTTCACATTAATTTCAGCTTTTCTGGCCCAATGGTTCTTGAGAAGAAGATTTTTAAAGACTTTTCACATATATACATTGTATGTTTATGTAAAACTTGGATTTCCTATTGTGGCCCCGCCCTACCCCCGGGGGTCATGATTTTAACAATTTAGAATTTACACTACCCCCAGGACTCTTCCACGTTAGTTTCAGCTTTTCTGGCTTACTGGTTCATGAAAAGAAGATTTTTAAAAAAAATTCCTATATATTTCTTTGTAAAACTTGGATTTCCTATTGTGGCCCCGCCCTACGCCCGGGATCATGATTTTAACAATTTAGAATCTACACTACCCCAGGATGCTTCCACATAAGTTTCAGCTTTCCTGGCCCAGTGGTTCTTGAGAATAAGATATTTTAATGATCCCACCCTATTTTTGTCTTTTCTTGATTATGTCCCCTTGGAAGGGGACCTGGCCCTATATTTTAACAATTTAAACTTCCCATCCCCCAAGGATGCTTTGTACCAAGTTTTGTAAAATTGGCCCAGTGGTTCTTGAGAAGAAGTTGAAAATGTGAAAAGTTTACAGACGGACGGACAGACGGACGGACGGACTACGGACAAAATGTGATCAGAAAAGCTCATTTGAGCCTTCGGCTCAGTTGAGCTAAAAAATATAAACAATGGGATGTGTTTGTGAAACACTGATGCTCCTGTAATTGACAGCTTTTGGCAAAGCTTGGAGTTTACAAATAGAAGTAAAAAGCCAATTGCAAGGCAAGGGATGAAAAATGTTGTGACCCAAAGAAAGGACTTGCTCTCAATGAATATGAAAGCCCAAACGCTAACTTTTAAAACGTAATGACCCAGGTCAAAGTTTTATAAACCTGGGTCAAATTTCAAGATCAGCGGGTCAAATTAAAGGTTCCTAGGGGAAGGGCTCTTATAAGAAATACATATGCAAAATATAAAAGCCCTAGCATCATCTGTTTAAAAGTGAAGGCCAAGTTAACGTTTTTTTAAAAGTTGGTCCAACTGCAAGGTCATGATTAAAGGGGCAAAATTGTTGCTATCTTAAATACAATCTAACTACAGTTAGATATTAGATCCGCTCGCATACTCGCTACACTTAACCATCTAACAATATCCCATAGAGGGTCACGTAAGAGGTCAAATTGGAACAACTTTAGCCTTATTCGCTTCACCAATATTCAATAGTTTTGCAGGTGACAATTTGATTGGTTGATACAATTTGACCTCTGACTGGACTCTCTATGGGATTTTTTAGATGTTAGTGTAGCGAGTATTCGAGCAGATCTATTATCTAATTTTAATTAGATTGTCTTAATGAAGACATAAAAAGGATATACAGGAAACAAACATACGAAAAACATTAGTTTAGTACTCAGAAACAAATTGTTCAAAATAGAAATTATTTATATACTTGTACCTATCCATCTTTGCTCGCCAAGGGTTTCCGATCCGAAATCTACTCTTCAACCCTTGGCAGATTTGACTGAAAGTTTAGAACTCGTGCAAACGAATTTGATTAACTGCGAAGTCCCAGTCTACGCAAGGTTTTTACTAATCGACGATTTTCGGCTGAATTAAAGTCTGTTCGTGTTTTACGCAAAAGAGAAGTATTACATGTATTTACGAGGAATGAAAGTTAGGACGTGATATATGCTAAAACAAAGGGGGCGGGTAATTAATTTCAATTTTTTTTTCTTTGATGATATATGTTTTCAAGAATTATTGAAAGGACCACCTAAGTCCGTGTTCCGCATTTTAGGTGCATCAATTTAAGCCAATCAAATACCACGGCTCATTGATAATAATTGATACGGCAACATTTAGAACGTGTTGTCAAACGCTTGACAAAATTGAAAAAATCACGAAGAACGATATTTTCTACAACTTTTAAGGTGTGCTAACAGTTGTATGAGGAGTTGGGTTATACTACACATCAAATTGCATGGAAGTCGCCATATTGTTTCAAACGTCATATTGAATTACATATGTTACAGCTATTTTCATTGGACAAATTTTAAAGAGCGTCAAGCTAGGGACTTACCTCAATTACGGCGATAGGCGGCGCAATTAAAGTTCGCGTTTGATAGGACTAAATCTGCCAAGGGTTGTAGAATAGATTTCGGATCGGAAACCCTTGGCTAGCGAAGATGGTACCTACCCTAACTGTAATCATTACCATTCTAACTAAACACAACAAAAATGCTTGAGAAAACAATTTCAATCCCTTACAGAATGCATATTGTTCTACCTTTAAAAATTTGTTCCCATAAAAATTTATACGAAAAAAGCCCATGTTTCTAATGTTTTACTGAGAGGGCATAACAAAATCGATGTTTGAACGTTGAGTGAGATGTTGGACCTGTGGATTAGATGTTGGACCGCTTACGTCACACAGTGGGCGGAGCTAAATCTTATTTGCATTCCTTTGTATTCGGCCGAATTTAACATTAGATTACATCACGGAATTCAGTACAAGATATATGTAAAAAATAAAATGAAAGGTATATATAGCACAACATTTATTGACTATGTTCTTAGACAAATTGCGTTTTGTCGACCCTCAAAGCAAAGGGTCTGTCTACGGCCTCGGGCAAACAGTTAGGTTCTTGTGTCCGACAAAACGCATGTTGCCCTCAAATACCTCTTATAAATAATCACTAGTAAAATAGAACCTGATTGGCCGAGACAGTCACGTGACCGTCGTGTTTGCCCTGCAATAAAAACCCGTGTTTCACGATTATGACGTTACAATGCAGCGACTGGGTGGTTAGTTTTGAGTACGGTTGTTTTTATCATTGATTGATTGTGTCGATTCAAAAAAGCACAGTAATGTTCCATGATTGCTTTACCTACCACACAGAAAATGTTAAGACTTGTTTTCTAATACATTCTTGGTACCCACGACATATGATAGCCAGTACACATTATGACGTCATCGACCTCTACTACACAAGTTTATAAGAAACATCAACAAAATCGCTTCGGCGCAAGGGCATACCTTACTTTGTTTTACAGAAAAAAGGTATAAAAAGACGCAGGATATTCCAAGGATTTAAGATATTGCTGCACAAACGTCGGCACTGCAAGTGTATAGTTACTATTTGTGCAGTTGTAAGTTTAAACAGGGTAAAAATTCACAGTCCAGTGTAAGTTTCCTAAAAGTTTTATCGATTGAGAAAGTGCATAGGATTTCTGCAGCAATTTTATTAATTTTAAGATTATTCTCCTGAATATTATACATTGTTTATTTTAAATTAGATAGGATATGCCCTTGCGCCGATGTGATTTTGTTGATGTGATTTATTACCTTGAATGGGACAGAACAATGACGTCATAATATGACGTCATAATGTGCACTTGTATTAATAAACTGTGGACACTAAGTATGTATAAGAAAATAGATTTGAACTTTCTCTGTACAGGAAATATACAACTTATGAATTTTTATTAGCTCATTTGCATAGAAATATCCATATTTAGCCTTAACTCACTTGCGTAGGCAAGTCAAAATACTTGCTTTCGATGCCAATGGAATTCTCGCGGCGCTGTCCTACACTACACGGTCATTGAGAATAGAAGTGACATACAGTTATTTGGACATTAGTTTTAACAGAGGATTGTTACCAATACACGTTGTAATGAAATCAATTATTATTTATAAAGCACTACACGGTCATTGAGAATAGAAGTGAGATACAGTTATCTGGACATTAGTTTTAACAGGGGATTGTTACTAATACACGTTATATATATATATATATATATATATATATATATATATATATATATATATAAAAGCACAAATTACAACAACTCTTAAACTAATATAACTGCCCTAAGTGAAGGAATATTAATATAGAAAGCACAGAGAAATTCACTTTTACGAGGATACTCACTTCCGCCCCAGCCTGGGGTTGAACTCTCGACCTACGGAATCTGTCTCCTAGCAGTACAGGAACAGCGCGTTAGACCGCTCGGCTATCTAGGCAAGTTAAAAAACTTGCTTTCGATGCCGATGGAATTTCTCACAACGCTGCCCTATACTACACGGTCATTGAGAATGGAAATGAGATACAGTTATTTGGACATTAGTTTTTAGAGGATTGTTACCAATACATGTTGTGATGAAATTAATTTTATTTATTAGTTTAAGAGTTGTTGTAATTTGTGCTTTATAAATAAAATTAATTTCAAAACAACATGTATTGGTAACAATCCTCTAAAAACTAATGTCCAAATAACTGTATCTCATTTCCATTCTCAATGACCGTGTAGTATAGGGCAGCGTTGTGAGAAATTCCATCGGCATCGAAAGCAAGTTTTTTAACTTGCCTAGATAGCCGAGCGGTCTAACGCGCTGTTCCTGTACTGCTAGGAGACAGATTCCGTAGGTCCAGAGTTCAACCCCAGGCTGGGGCGGAAGTGAGTATCCTCGTAAAAGTGAATTTCTCTGTGCTTTCTATATATATATATATATATATATATATATATATATAGTTGAAAATAGTTCACAGTCGATGTCACACAGGTGAAAATAATTATAAAAGAAAAAGAAACTGCAGTTTCCAAATTTCATTTAACACAAGCGCGGTCTGGAGTTCATAATCCGTCTTCAGGTGTACATAAATTGAACTGATAAATCAGTTCAATTTATGTACACCTGAAGACGGATTATGAAATCCAGAAAGCACTTGTGTTAAATGAAATTTGGAGACTGTGCATTTTCTTTTTCTTTTATAGTTATATATATATATATATATATATATATATATATATATATATATATATATATATATATATATATATATATATATATATATATATATATATATATATATATATATATATATATATATATATATATATATATATATATATATATATATATATATATATATATATATATATATATATATATATATATATATATTTAAAAAAAAAAAAAGAAAACACAAAAATCCTCAGTTAAGCTTTAGCGCTTTCATTTTCAATCTTCAGAAGCTTACAGTAGTATTATAGTAACAGTGATTATGGCGTCATGTTAAGCGGAACGTTAAATGTCTATTATGACGTCATAGATACAATATGACAAAAAGTACGGGAAAATCACAAGTAATTTATAAAACACTATTAAGTTTTGGCTGAAAAATACTAATAAAATGTTTTTCTTTTTCCCGTCTCTGGATATCAGTGGCACAACTGAGTTTATAGAAAGGGAAAATTTTGAATTGTTTTTTACCACACGCCTCCAGGTGCGAACTTAATTGAATTTGTCTGTATTCGGGTGTACTAATGTGTTGCTTATGTACACGTACACGGGCACGGAGAGTGTTGCCGGTTTCGCCAATATAATATTCCTTGCATCCAGGACATGTGATGACATAAATGACATTTTTAGTATCGCATGACATGTTTTCTTTAACTCTAAATTCACGCCCATTGAAATTATAGCTGGTCCCTTCTGTAATGTATTCACATGTACCGCATCGAGGGTTCTTACACTTAGAGACTGTATAAGTATGGTCGTTGAATTTGGAAGAACAAAGTATTCTCTTTAGGTTTTTGGGTTGGCGTTTACTGTTGATAAAACGACAATTCTTGTATACGTTTTTCGTTTGTTCGTCCTCTCTAAGTAAGTTGTTCAATTCATAAATAATTGAACTCACGTTTTGATTTCTCGGGTTATGCGTGTGCACAAATGGAATTATTTCAACGTCATTTGCACGTCGTATGTTTAAAAGTAACTGACTTCTATCGCACTCCTTGGCTTTCTTTATACCATTATCTACAAGTTGTTCTGGATATTTTTGGTTTAATAAATACAATTTTAATTCCTCCAGTCGAATATCCCTGATCTTGGTATTACTCACAATGGTGCATATCCTTCTTGCGAGGTTATATGGTATAGCTGTTTTAGTGTGATGGGGATGACTCGATCCAAATGCAGATATTGGTGTGTGTCGGTTGGTTTATAGTAAATATCCGTATTTAAGCTGGTATTATCCTTTGTTACAAGAACATCGAGGAATGGCATTTGCAAATCATCTGTTTCCATCGTGAATTTGATATCCGAATTCATTTGGTTAAGTAGATCATAAAACTCCGTTAGTTTATCGACATCCTCCTCCCATAAGATAAAACAATCGTCTAAAAATCTTTTCCATTTAGACCGTATTTTGTTTGCAGATTCTATCCCCCACAAGGTACACAATTGATCATGTAATTTATGTTCTAGATAACCAAGGGTTAATGTTGCATAGGTAGGTGCGACTTTTGTCCTCATTGCTGTTCCCTTAATTTGGAGGTAATGATGGTCTGAAAACTCAAACGTATTGTTATCTAGAACTAATTTTAAAGCCTCTAGGATGCAGTCCCGTTGAAACCTGTTGTTTAGAACATCGGGATAATTTTCAGTCCAGAATTTGACAACTAGCAATCCCAATTCTGTAGGAATATTTGTATACAAACTTACAACATCCAGTGTGACAAGTTTGGTGTCAATTTCATTTTCGATTGACATAATTCTTTTCTTAAGTGTTTTTTGTTGAAATTGCGAATATATATATATATTTAAAAAAAGAAAAAAACGACAACACAAGCTGTAAAACGTTAGCGCTTTCATTCAAATTCTTCAGACGTTTAACTTTAAATATTTGACGTTAAAATGTTATGGTAATGACGTTGTCAACAATACAATGACGTCACAATGAATGTTCGGGAAACAAGCAAAAGCGTACATGTTGAACATATGAGAAATAAACATACATGTATATAAAATACAATAAACTATGCTAAACTGTTCAAAGTTGGTTTTAAAGACTTAATAACATGTTTTTCTTTTCCTCTTCTTTCTACCGTACTGTCGTTAAACAGTTTGTAAAAGGGGAACACGGTGAAATGTCCGTTACCGCATTGGTCCAGGTGTTCACTTACTTTGACCTGTCTGTATTCCGGATGTTGAATATGTTGTTTGTGGATTCGGATACGGGTACGGAGAGTAGTTCCAGTCTCGACAGTCTATACATATATGCATACATAATTAAATAGAAATGAAATACATATCAGATTGTTAAGCTTTGGTTTTAACGCACAAATAAGATGTTTTTCTTTTTGACGTCTACAAATGTCATTTCCACCTGCTACTTTATAAAACGGAATATCGTAAATTTCTTTTGTCCGCACACGTCTAAGTGTTCACTTAGTGGTATTTGTCTATACTCCGGAGTGTTGATCTGTTGCTTGTGGGTACGAACCCGGGCACGGAGGGTGTTACTGGTCACACCTATGTAATATTCACTACACCCTGGACAGGTTATCGCATATAAAACATTTTGTGTATTACACGATATATATCCACACACACACACACACACACACACACACACACACACACACACACACACACACACATATATATATATATATATATATATATATATATATATATATATATATATATATATATATATATATATATATATATATATATATATATATATATATATATATATATATATATATATATATATATATATATATATATATATATATATATTAAGTGTTTATTTACATTGAAGGGGTTTTAGTATTACTGGTTTGTAACTTACACTGACTTATCACGAAGGATTGTTATATCTTTTAAAATATGTTCCTAAACAAGTCTTTACGAAAAAATAACTCTAACATTTCTAATGTTTTGCTGCGTGGGCATAAAAATTCTCTGTTGGACCGGTCGATTAGATGTTGGACCGCTTACGTCGTAGGAGGTGAAGGTAAATCTCATTTTCATTTGTTGGTGTTCAAAAGTGACAGACCTGGGGTTATATCACGGAAGACAGTACAAAATACATGTCAAAAAAACTTAAGTGAAAGGTACATGTATAACAAAACATTTATTGACTATGTTCTCGGTCAAAATGCGTTTGCCGACCCTCGAACCAAACTTTCTGCCTTCGGCCTATCGGCCTTAGACAGACAGTTTGATTCTTGAGTCAGACAAAACGCATGTTGCCCTCGAACTAAGTAACAAAATGTATAATATTTTATGAGGAGCGACTAGTAGTGTTTTATTCCTAGGGGTTTCTTTATATTTCCTGCATTGTGTTTGAATTCTATGCCTTCGGGGAATATGATTCTTCATGGGCATCTTCATGTCTCCCTCACCATCATGCAAAAAATGTTTATTGTTAGAGCCCTTCCTAGAACACTTGGCTAAATGATCCAGAGTTTTAAAAAACCTATGAAACACTATCCATGATTATTACAATTGTGTATTCTATTTGCCCTCTACTAGTAAGGAGCAGATGTCTTCAAAGAAACAGTGTTTACTGTATCTTATTTGTTTATGTATAATGTTTATAATTTTTATAATTTTTCTCAGGAATTATGTCATATGACATGATAGCTACGGGGGATAGATGGTGGAATCAGGCCACACAGACAGTGAAGGAGGATTATGGACATGAATGTTTTTATATTAAATTCAAACAGAAAAGTAAGAATATTCAGTATTTGAACAATATTAAAATTACATTTATTACACTCATTCATCATGTACGGTATACCATGGAAAAATCGTGAAAACCCCAAATAAGTAACCGATCCACACACAAAAAAAAACATTATACGTTGTAAGAGATATCTCTTATAATGTATTGTGGGGTACTTTTTGTGAAACGGTTTTCACGATATTTTCCTATGGTATGTACATGATGAATAACTGTGATAAAAATAATTTGTCAAAAATGTCCTGCAATCCCCAGGGTTGAATATAGGGGGGGGGGGGGTGTTCCACTAGTACCTGTGTGTGTTTCATGTCAACTTGCTTACAAGTGAATTATTTCAGCTTAAGGAGTTCGATCCTTAGCTTTTGAATGGATGATCTATACCTTTATTTCTAAAATTCCGCATCATTTTAAGTTCTAACATTATATCTGGAGTTTACAATGCTAATTGAACTATATTCAATGGAATAAAAACCGCGATTAAATTTCATTCAAGTAGAATTGAGTCAGGAACTATATTTTGTTGCGAAACTTTTTTTTTTTTAGAAGAAAATGATCAATTCTTCCCTTTTGAACTATATACAGTACTGTTAATTTTAGATTCCTTGAAGCAAATGATGCCATTTTAAAGTACGTTTTTATTTGGTATATCAACAAAATACGAGCTTGAAGCGGGTGTGTCTGAAAATAAGTTAAGTACCTTGTTGTCAATATAAGTAGGGGGTACCCCGTATACGAAACAAGTGTCTGTGGCAATAAACAGTGCAAAAAAAACTTATTTTTTATTTTTCTTTATCAGTTTAACTACACTATAATTTCTTTATCAATGAGAATTGGGAAAATATTTAATTTCATATTTAATATGTGAATAGAACTTTTTTGAAATCATGTGAATTCT